ATTAGTAGATTATTTTTATTATACTATATTATACATGAGAGAAACAAAAATAATCAAAAATAATAATCTTTGCAAGCAGTTATAGTACCAATCGATTTTGCCAAAAAAATAATAATAACTAATAACAAGTTTTTGAAATTCTAATACTAACTTGTGACAAATTATTGTGAATAATAAGATTTATTAGTTATCTTAAACATAGACTTTATAAATGGTTATTATTATTTTTTTTTATCATGTAATTTAAAATACTTATTACCAAATAATGGAATGAAATTATTTCTGCTTGGGTAAAAGAGATTTTTTTCAGCTCTAGATTGAATTAAATTTAAAAAATGAATCTGAATCAATAGATGACGAAAATTTCCATTAATGTAAGTCAAGTCTAGATCTTTACATAGTCTGGCTGAGTAAAATCTGAGTAAAACAGCCCGTTCAACATGTAATGAAACATACATACCTAACATATAATGAAAAAAAAGTAAATGCTGAAAATCCAACAAAAAATAATTTTTTAAAAATATTTTAACAATTTTTTCTTTTTTTTAAGCTGAAGCCATATGGTTACGGATAAGAAATTTAAGATTTTGTTTAATCAGTTGTAATTGATGTTATTAAAAAATATTTTTTGTCCAAACACTTAATTTCTTGCATTTTCATGCTGCATCTGCGAAAGTCACTTTGACTCCTTCACGTTAAACATAAAGCTTCGCCCGAGACTTACTAAATGGAACACCGTAGTGTGTTGACATGTAATGTGAAACGTTTTCAGTTGAAATTTTACATTTATTCCTGACACTTCTCGGAACAAAAATCATCTTACTAAAAACATATTTGTTCGCAATCGCTGCCAAAGGAGCAATTGAAGGAAAGGCTTCATTAATAACGTTCATTATCATCATTGATTGTTATAGTACTACCCGTTGTTGACATTATTTGCTAGCAAAGACGTATCTTCTTTTATATTAAAAGTTTGATGGCTTTAAAGTGAAGCCTCAATAGCATTGGCCACTGGCTTACATTTAATTCGGTTTTTGCCTCAAACGAGCGTTAATTTTAAATGTATTTTACCATCTGAAATTTCGTGGTATAATTTATTATATTGGTTGAGACGAATCCTGTCATTTTCAAAGCGAACAAATTTAAAAATTAAGTTTTAAGAAAATAAAGTAAAAAAAAAAAAAACAAATAAAATTAGTAGAATATGTACTTGCATCAGATAAAAAAATTTGTTAAAAAATTATTTCTCTAAGTAAATTTTTGAAAAATTTTGAAAAGTATTAGGATTTAGTGATGAAAGTTCGATGGTAGGCGCGCAGAGGGCAGAGCCCCGGTACTTTTAAAACTCTGGAAAATGTTTCAAAATGTGATGTATGTTTTTGAGTCCTATAAACGTATTCCACTTGATTGTCGAAGATATTTTACAAAAAATTTATCAGATGATGTACTTATTTGAATTGAAGCCTTAAAAAGTCTATGAATAAACAAATCCGTTTAATTTCTAAATATTTTTATAACATATTACTTGTTCAATAACACCTTAACAATATACAGTGCAATATATCATGTAAAATAATTACCTTCTAAAAAGTTTCTCTGTAGCTTACAACTACGATTTTTGCCTTGCAAAAGATTTTTTCAAAGTTAATGTGAGCTTCTGCGAAAAAATTCAATTTCAATTCATCTTTCGGTGAATAAAATTAAGATAAAAAACCGTGATCACAAAGTTGCGCACGAAACTCTTAAAGCTTAACTGTCAGGAATTATCGATGTGATTGTAAGCTTTAAAACTTTTTTGAAAAACTTTTTAGTTTAAAAGTTGCTAATAATTATTGTCTGTTTCGTCAAAAAAATCTACGGCATTACGCGAAATATTGATCAACTCAAAATCAAATTTCTGTTAAGGAGGTCCATGTTAAAATGCAAAAGTTCAATGACCTGATACATTAATTATTTATATTGTTTGTAGAAGAAAAAAACTTAAATAGCTGCCACTCAGAACTAAACTTTTTTTGATTCAAATAAACGCGCTGTTAAACGACACAATGTGACCAACCACATCACTAGTGATGTCTTAAGTCACTATAAATACACACAAACTACCAACAGGACTAACCAATAAGAACTAAAACTCCCATGTACATCCAACCAGAGATAAGTAGTTATTTTATTTCTAAAATTGTTTTTACACTAATTATACACGTACTAATAAAGTACAAATTTTTTATACAGGTATTGTAATTTTTTTGTAAGTGTATTTGATTAACTAGAAATATTCGATTTTGGCTTCAATGATAAATAATCAAACAAAAAATACTTTAGTCTATCTACCACTGATAATGCTGAATTAGTTTGAATTTTTATTATTCATATATTTTCTCAAAATTTATATTCATACAAATGCTTTAGTTGTTATGTTATTTTTGAACAGGTAAAAAATTATGTCAGACTATGACTTGCATATTTTTTTTCTTTTTGTTTGTGAATGCCAGATACCAATATTTGTTAAAATTGCTTGAGATTTCAGATCCAAAATGACTGCAATTTTAGGCGGAGGAATATCTGGTTTGAGTGCTGCATATTACTGCCTTGAAAATCCAAAATTAGGATCGATTGCTTTGTACGAAGCATCGAATCGTCTTGGGGGATGGATAAAGAGTAAAGAAACACCCTCGGGACACATATTTGAAAAAGGTCCACGAACTATTCGACCCGGAGGACTTGCTGGAAAAAATACACTTGAACTAATAGATAAACTAAATTTGACCAACAAAATTATTTCAATCGACAGAAATCATCCAGCAGCTCGGAATAGATTAATTTATGTAGACAAGCAATTGCATGTTCTACCAAATTCATTGACTAGTCTGTTCAAAGTCAACAAACCTTTCGACAGACGTCTAATCTCAATAATATTGAATGATTTGAAAGCCCCAAAGTCACCCAAAGAAGATGAAAGCATTTATAGCTTTGTTGAACGAAGATTAGGAAAAGATGTTGCTGATTACTTGATAAGCCCAATGATTTGTGGAATCTGTGCTGGTGATGCAAAGAAAATTAGCGTCAATTTTCTCATGAAGCCTATTTTCAAACTTGAACAAAAATATGGCTCCATTACAAAGGGTGTACTGTTGAATCAGTTAAAACAATTTTTTGATAAAACATTCAAAACTTCAAAAAATCAAGATTTGGGCAAAATTAAAGATTGCCAGTTAACAGAAAGATCTCAGAAAGAACAATGGTCGGTATGGAGTTTAACGGGTGGACTTGAACAACTTCCAATTATGTTAGAAAGTCACATAAGCTCCAAGCCCAATATTCATTTAGAAAAGGAAGCATTATGTGATCAAATAACGTTTAAACAAGATACAGTTGAATTATCAATAAACGGAAAAGTAACAGAACATCGTAGAATTATTTCTAGTTTGTCAGCAAAAAGTCTTGCTCCCCTGTTAAAAAAACAGCATCCAAAATTGTCAAAAGAACTTGAAGATATACCATTTGTTACAGTAGCAGTTATTAATCTTCATTTTCCAGGCAATGTCTTACCAATGAAGGCTTTTGGGTTTCTTGTTCCACCACAGGAAAATCTACCAATATTGGGAATGATTTTTGATTCTTGTATAGTTCAATACAGTGAAAACACAGTAAGAACCATTTGAAATTTTAATAAAAAACAAATAGCTTAAAAATTTTTTATGAATTGACTTGACATAAAATTACAGTTATGTAAAATAAAAGTACAATATCTTTAAATTAGAAAATAATGCAAGTAATATAGACTTAAAAAATTTATCACATCCACTTCCTTGTTTTGTAATACTTACAACTTGTATAACTTTACAGGTACTAACAGTCATGATGGGTGGTGCTTGGTTTGACAAGTACTTTGGCAACAGTCCAACACAAGATGAGATTCTCTCAATTGCTGTGAATCACGCAAAAAGTATACTTAATATAAAACAAGATCCTGTAGAACATGATGTATCCATCTTGAAAGATTGTATTCCTCAGTATGTTGTTGGTCACAATCAGAGACTCCAGAGGATCGATAATTACATTTCTGCTCACAAGATCCCCATGGCACTTTGTGGTTCGTCGTACAAAGGAGTTGGTCTGAATGATGTTATTCTGTCAGCAAAAGAAGCCGTATCTCACATTGCTTCGTGACTTGAAAATCAACTTACAACTCAAGCTGCATGAAATCATGCACATTTTTTATTAGTTATCTTGAAAGTATAACTTTAAACTCAAAGTAAAACAAAGAGATTGGACTCTTTATTTGTATATAGTGCATGTTTTTTGTAAAAAAAATAAGACTATGAACTGTTGTAAATTAAAAAACTGTCATATATTGTAAGATATTATAAATATAAAGTTTCTTCTACAAACAAAATTAACTTATAATTAAACTATCTCCTATGTATGCACAATTATACTTATAACTTACAAAAACTTGGATATAGGGAAATGTTCATGCTTTACAGGAAACTGAAATAATGAAATAACATGCATTTTATGTATTCCCTTGGATTTACAAATCAAGTCGATGATGTAAAGAAACAAATTATTGTATTGTGATTGAAGTGCTGTGATATTTTGAAAAACGCAATATTCGACACAAGCACTAATCCAAAATTACGTTCTCTCACTGGGTGACATTACCTGCATATTTAACTTCATCGAAAGCTTTTCTTGCTTTCTTTAATTCTTCGTTCATTGTCAAGAGATCTTTTACCCTAGCATACTTTCTTGAATCTTTCCTCACTAAAAAATATCACCATTGCAAATGAAAAGTCATTAAATATTACAGTAGCATGAAAGTAGATGTTATTCTTCATAAATTACCCAGAAAAACGATATCTTCCACTTGAACTCTTCCAGTTCTGCCGATTTCCATTGCTCGATGCGTCATTTCGGTAATGTACTCTATAACGAGATCCTCCAATAGATCAACACTCTCCGTGTAAGGATTTTGATCGTCTCCAAAACCATACATCATACAACGAAGCTCTTTCGAGAAAAGCCTTTTCCTTGCACTGGTCAAACTAGCTCCAATGGGCATTTCACTCTCCTCATCCTCAAACTAAACACATGATAGGTACAGATTGATAAATTTATTGATAAAATTTTTCATTATTCATTATTGGATTTTTGATAGACTAACAAAATTCCTGGTTTATATATGAATTGATTAACACGAATCTAATACTCTCAGAAATAATCCAAAGAAATCAGAACTAATTGCAAAAAAGTCAAGATTTTAGGTTATATATGAATTTGGCTTGTCTCACCTGTTCAAAAGCTTCTTCCTGTGCCATTATTCGTTTTTCATATATTTGCCCTTCAATGAAATAAAAAACGTAGTATACAAACCAAAGTGAAGTGTAAGTGGCTCACAATACAAAAATCCTCTCCTCGTCAAACAAATTGCTATTTTCAAGCAGAGTTTAACTTGATTTTAGAATCTGAAATTCAAAATAGACCCAAATTTTATTACTACTTATCTGTGTATACATAACATTAGTTTACCAATGTTTATAGTGATATTTATCCATACAAATCAAAGGTTTTAAAACTCCGGTCAGCGTGGGCTAGTCGTTAAATCAAGTGTGCAGGTGTGAAATTAAACTATAATAAAAGAAAATCAGTGTTAACTTGCAAAGAAGCGAAGCAATGACCTTATGTCGGTTTAAGTGTATGTACTGTCACAGATCACAGTTGCCTTGTTGTTGTCTGCTTGTTTTGATACTTTTCGTTCCCCCCACCCTTTTTTCAGTGCATGCGTCGATTCGATTAAATGTAAGTCGATTCATTTTCGATCGACTTAAAATGGGGTTTTTAATTTTACTCATATTTTTCTTATAATTTCAAAGACCGAAGCATAATATCATTTTCTGGGCCCCGTTGTAAAGAATTTCCCTATACTTATATGTATAACATTGCGAGCTATTGAAAAAAATAGAAGCGTTACGGATAACATAAAAGCGTCGTAAAATCGAGACTCTTGCTCATCAAATGAAATTAATCTTTGCATGTATACATTACAAGTATATATTTTAACCCATATCACCTCTTCCGACGTCTGAGAGTTGATGACCAAATGCTTTGCGAAGATATACATCCTTTATCGTTACGGGGTCTTAGTTTTTATTTTGGGGAGACTAATTCGTGAGCCTATAGGGCTGCCCTGATATAATAGGTCGATTGGATTCGAATGGAAATCGTTAAAAAAAAAGTAATCTTAAAAAAAAATTTTTTTTTGGTCACGCGGATCCATTATGTCATCCTCCATCGAAATGATTGATTTAAAAACTGATTTTTATGAGTAGAGGAATCTATTGATAGAAATCTATATATTATATATTGTAGAATTAAGACTTTTTCATTAACGGAGACTCGAACCTAGGAGCTTTGGATCGAGAGCTTTCAATCGACTGTAATGGGACTTTGGCTTATTTCTATCAACGGCAATTGTATTTGATTCGATTTTTATATGTATTAAAAAAAAAAAATTTTGTATTTCATTCATTCGTAAACGATTTGATTTTTACATTCCAAAGTTGCATTGAAGTTTATAGACTTGAATCGGCATTTTGGATCATACCAAATCAGTTAACTTTAATAAAAAATTTTAACAAGTACTTTGATTCCAGGTATCATTAACATTGTGAATTCCCAAATGAGATACGAAACTCATACGCTAATTTGGCTCCTTTTTTCATCTACAACCAAAGCCATCGTTTTTTAAGATCTAAATTTTGTTGTATCTTTAGCAGAAGAACCTGTATGATTATTTAAATAAGTTGTCAGATCGAAACCTAACACGACGATGCAATTGACTGGGACATAAAAAAGACTGTTTTTAAAAGAATGACCCATATTGAATTGACTTGAATCGACTGCTCCTAACACAATTTCCGAGTACATCTAATCGGCTCAGAAAAAACATGTATAGCTTTGACATTTATAGAATTGAATCTGCACTTTAGACCAGAGCAAATCAATCGACTTTAACTAGTGATTCTAACTTTTCCGCTTATCTTATTGTCACCAAGCATAAATTATTTTATTTGATTAATTATAGTAATAACTATTTTAAACAGTAAGTTGAAAAAAAAATTTTTTAATAACAGTTTATAAAGTCTAGATTTAAGACAATTAATTATTTACAATTATCTACCACAAATTACTATTAAAATTTCATAGGGGAAGAGCAAAGTGTGTGTATACTCATGAGTACCTCCGAGTTTCGCTTAGTCCCAACCGATCCATTAAACAGTGGTATAGCGTAATTACACGCAATTTCTAAAAAATCAATAATTTGATAAAATAAATTAGAGATATGTATTTTGTGATCAGTCAAAAACGAGTACACTTAGAGTATCGTTGATAATTTTATATCAATTTGAGCCCATTGATGTTTAAATTGGGTAAAAAATATTGGCATTTTCTTTTGAACTTTTTGAGGTACGCATTACTTAAATAAAAAACGTGAGCTCGGACAAAGCGGGTATAGGGCAAAGCGGGTTGCTTGGCAGGTATCCGATTTGCACTGATATCATTTTTTATATATTTTTTCGAATTTTTCTTGGATGGTGAATAAATGTAAGTAGAAAACACAGTGATTTATGTCACAAATGAGACGTTTGCTTTAGAAATTTTTAAAATATCGCTTACTGTTTTCAAGTTTTCGAGTTACCGATTCAATAATCATTTAGAGCCATGTATGGCCATATTTTTATAAGCAAGTCTCTTAAACTGTTGAAGGGTGATTAAATTATATTAAAATTACCATTTAAATAAATAATAAATTAATATTTCCCTTCATTGTAGTGCCTTTCCGCTTTGCCAGAAAGGAAAGCCCGCTTTAGCCCCCCCCCCTCGTCCCACTCCTAGGGCTAAGCTGTTTTTGCAAGGGTCACTTTATTTTTAATAATAGATCAGAAATTGAAAGACAATGATCCAAAAGTGTTTATTTATTTCACAGTTCAATGTACCCTCTATCCAAAAAAAAATAGAACGGATCATTAACATCATACAAATACTAAATTTTTTGGGCTTTAAACCTTAACTAACCCGCTTTAGGCTACTTTCCCTACTTACTTATTATTAGTTATTATTTTTTTTGTTCGCAATATCGATTGGTATAATAAGTGCCCATAAAGATTAGTGTTTTTGATTAACTTTTGTTATTTTTTTCTGTCTGATATACAAGATAAAACAAAAAAAAATGATCTGTTATTAACAATTATTAATAACTATAAGTTTTTGATAAATATTAACCGTTAAGTATAGGAGTAATGATTAACAATAAAAGTTCTTCCCATTTTTCTCAATGTTTCTAGAATAACATTTAAGACGAAAAAAAAAACAATAATAATAACTAATCATAACAAATAATACTACTTATTAAATTTTTTTACTTGTCTCGAGTCTGGACTTTAATAATTGTTGTTATCAGTTACTTTTTATTCATTAAAATAATTTTGGCTTGGATCTTTCCAACTTCACTAAAATAAAACACACCAGCAGGCTATATTAATAAATGCTGTTTAATGAAATCGACTTGACTTATTTTTTTATTGTAGTACAAGAATAAATGATAGTTTGAAAAAACCGATGCAATATAAACTTTCCTTATAAAAAATTGAACAGGTCTAGAAAAAAAATGTACAAAGTTAGTGAGAAAACTTATTTTTAAGAATTCATAAAATTTGGTAACAAGCTGTAGGTCTGTTTCAAAATTACAATTCAAGTTGATCAATGGCAATGCTACTTTTGAATGTGAAAGTCAATTCTTTTACGAATCACACCGGCCGATATTGAAAAAAATTTTTTTTTAATAGATATAAAAATCCAATCAAATACAATTGGCATTGATATGAATAAGCTGATGTCCCACGAAAGTCGATTGAAATGTTTAACTGTTACTCTACTTGCGTGATAAAATAACACTATTCGTTAAAGCTCCGGTCCCCGGTTGATCCGTTACTGTATCTTCTATAATTACTAATAAATTCCTATCGATTAAAATCAGGTTTCAAATATTTTACATTGATGAAGGGTAGCATAAAACAAAATTAAAAAAAAAATTTTTTTTAACAATTTTTTCAATTATCTTAAATCGACTCTAATTGAAAAATATTCCAATCGACTTGAATCGGCATCTACATAATCAATCTGCTATTATGCGATTTTGACAATCAAAATTTACCATCGGAACCGATTTAAGCTTTTTAATCGGCTTACATCGGCCTTTTATAATAGGGTATGCTTATATATGTATACCGCACGCGCTTGAAACATATATAAATATCCATTCTCGTCTAGACGTCTACCCCTTCTGCGCCTGCGGAAAAGTGACCACCGCCACTATCCTTCACACACCTGTTTATTCCTCACCTACAATTTCTTACATACTTATAAGTATACATATATACATCAAGCAAAGAAAAATTCCCCCTCGCGTATAGTCTCGTATTCTCGTACAAAAAAAAATTTGTACCTATACAGTGCACACGCGGAAGCTCAGCAACCAGCCCCTGTAAGCCGGACATCACTCGTCTCTTTACCGAGCAACAGGACAAACAAAACAGAAGCTTGGCTCGGGGGATTTTTTTTTTGTTCGTGCGTGTATTCGTTTATCCAACGCATTTGTGTATACAGTTGAAATGTGTGTCGCAAATTTACAACCCGAGAATGGCAGAAGCAACACGCAACAAGAGGGTCCCAGCGAAGGGAAAGCGCGAGTCTGCCGATAAGGAAAATCAATAAGACCTACCTATATAACAAGCGTAATAATACACCAGTCTGCGAAAGAAAGCAGAGGAAAGTGGAGCAGACCGCGAAGGCAATGTTTTATTCGTCGAAAAAAAGAAGAAACAAATTAGTGCAGAATCTTGTACGCTAGACGGAGTTCGCAACCTCATCATCATTACGATACACGTGGCATAAATATATACAAACAGCTGCTCAGCTTATTATTTTTGGGTGTACATACACACACCACAACGTTACAGTCGTCGTCTGCTCTTAGCAGCTGATTCACGCTGACAGCGATAGTTGGGTTTTCAAAAGATAAGCAAAAGGAACTTTGGGCGCGAGCTTGCGAACGAAGGCTGGAAGCATGCGATGCATAAAAGAACGACGAAAAATCAGGGGTGAGTTTTCTTTTTGCGGTTTTCCTCTTTATATCGCAGTCTATTTTTGCAACTGCACACGAATGTGCAGAACGTAGACGTCGTAGACACTTATCACTTATTCACATCGTCGGGTGAGTAGAGGAACGTGCTATCTCTTGATATTGAAAAAAACTGCGCTATCTTGATTTTTAATTTTAAAATGCTTTTGCTTCGAGCGATTATTAATTGCTACTCTATTTTAATATTTTTACGTATAATTATAGTCAAATGTTAGACTTACTTAATTTTTCGGCTTGTTTTTTCGTCTATTGCAATTTTACAAAGATCATTTGAGAAAAATCAGCATATTTTAAAGGGTACAGACTTAACAGACACTTTTAATTTTGGTAATATTTTTTTCGTATTGTTTGTCACCAAATATAATAGTTTTTTAGGAACTGTTGTAACTGATCTAAAAAGAATATTGTGATAATAGTTATAATATAATGATGAATTTGGGTACGAGGTTACTTATTAGCATTAAAAACGGCTAGCACGAAACCCTCAATACCTTGCAAAAATATTTATTTACTTTTAAAGGGGTTACATTATCTTGTGATCATTTATTTTCACGCTTTTGTACAGCGAATATTTAACATACCATCACCAAATTTTTATAGACTTTACTGCTTTCCAGTTTATTATACAAGCAAATTCAACAAATATTCAATAACAGACACATTTTGCGATATCGTATATAGGTTATTTTACGGAAACAAAGGCCGAAATAAACAGAAGCTAAAACGAAGTTTGGAACATTTCTAATACTAGTTACGTTAGACACGCTTCACGCGATTTCAGTTTTATAATTATTTACAGATATTTTTGTATTTTTATATTTCATAATCTTCAAGCAAATCCAACTTTTTATATCTCTACTAATCTGATACTTTTAAAAGGACAAACAAGTAATGTATTATTTTAGATCATGTAACAGTGTGAACTTATTTCATTTCACATGTTGTTACAATTTTAACAGTTAAATTTTTTTAATCATGCCAAATTAGTCACGTGACCAGTCTTAACCAATTACACAACGAATAAAAAGGCTCTAGTCAAGAAGAAATCCATCTTTTAAGATAGGATTATTTTTGTATTTTATAAACCCAAACCATGTTTTAATTTTTTACGTCTCCACAAATGGTTTATTACGTCACTAGGGCGCAAAGTATACGAACTTGAATGCCAGAATGGCGCAGTCATCACATGTTTGTACCCGAGTCCTGTATATTGTTTTTCTTACCAAGGGCGCAAAACTGGAATGCGGCACCTGAGGGCACACTTTTCACCCAGTAAATCACTTTGGGCCTTACGGCAGAATAATATATTAGGTACTAACCCAAGTGGAACATTTTTTTTGTGATGAAGTAAAAAAAAAAATAGTAACTAATATTCATATTTTATAAAGTACAGATTTGAGACTATAATCGAGTTTAATGAGTGTTTTTATTAATAATTATTTATAACATTTAAGACGAAAAAAAAAACAATAATAATAACTAATCATAACAAATAATACTACTTATTAAATTTTTTTACTTGTCTCGAGTCTGGACTTTAATAATTGTTGTTATCAGTTACTTTTTATTCATTAAAATAATTTTGGCTTGGATCTTTCCAACTTCACTAAAATAAAACACACCAGCAGGCTATATTAATAAATGCTGTTTAATGAAATCGACTTGACTTATTTTTTTATTGTAGTACAAGAATAAATGATAGTTTGAAAAAACCGATGCAATATAAACTTTCCTTATAAAAAATTGAACAGGTCTAGAAAAAAAATGTACAAAGTTAGTGAGAAAACTTATTTTTAAGAATTCATAAAATTTGGTAACAAGCTGTAGGTCTGTTTCAAAATTACAATTCAAGTTGATCAATGGCAATGCTACTTTTGAATGTGAAAGTCAATTCTTTTACGAATCACACCGGCCGATATTGAAAAAAATTTTTTTTTAATAGAACTTATAACTTACAAAAACTTGGATATAGGGAAATGTTCATGCTTTACAGGAAACTGAAATAATGAAATAACATGCATTTTATGTATTCCCTTGGATTTACAAATCAAGTCGATGATGTAAAGAAACAAATTATTGTATTGTGATTGAAGTGCTGTGATATTTTGAAAAACGCAATATTCGACACAAGCACTAATCCAAAATTACGTTCTCTCACTGGGTGACATTACCTGCATATTTAACTTCATCGAAAGCTTTTCTTGCTTTCTTTAATTCTTCGTTCATTGTCAAGAGATCTTTTACCCTAGCATACTTTCTTGAATCTTTCCTCACTAAAAAATATCACCANATTAAATCCATAATAAATGCAATGATTTTTTCTTCAATCCTTTTTTTTATTTTTAACAGGAAGCCAGTTTTCATACATTCAAGCCTCCAAATTATAAACAAGCAAGAGAACAAGTACTGGATCACATCGTTGAATTTATTTGTAAAGAATTAGCCGAAATTGAGGCGGAAAAACTTGCTGAAGTACAGGACGATTTAAATGAAAATTTTAATGAATGCTTAAAAATCGCACCAGCGCCAACGACCACAGGCAAAAATCCTCTCATCAGCAAAAATTATTACCACAATGTTGAGAGTACAGGCATATTAAAAGAAGAACAAGCAACGGGAAAAGAAACAGAGGACTTGCAATCGCGAAGGAGTAAACTGGGCACGGTTTTCAATGAGCGAATCATTGTGAGTCCGGTGCCTTTTGTCGTCACTACGAGAGAAAGTTTTTCAACCCTTCGCAAGACTCCGATTCTTTTCGTAGGTGAAGACGGCGACGCTTCAAATACGATTCACTCTGGTAAGTCTCTTCTTACTTTTGTATTCATAACTGCTTCATTTAATTCGAAGAATTAATTTTTCAATTATTTTTTGTGAAAATACAAAAAAAAAAAAACCGTTATTTCACGTTTTGCTACCATTAGTTGTTATTCAGCGAGTATATTTTACCATCTACGTTTAAGTTGAACTATACGTGTTATGGTTATCTGCCACTTGCGATCTTTCCTGTGCTGAAAATACTCCTTAATTGTTACCTTCAGGTTCAAGGCGAGAAAACTCAAGACGAAAGTTATCTCTGACAGGAAATACGCCCTTGGTAGCAGTACCGCATGTACAGCCTTCGTGGAACACGCAAGTGTGCCCTACAATTTGGCCGAAAAACGTTAAGCTCACTCCAATTGACACTTCTAGATTGCCAAGTAGTAAAAGAAGGTAATAAATACAGTAGAAAATAAACTTTTTTTTCAATTATGACCAAAACACTACAGTTTTTACGATTGAATATTCAAAACTTGTGTAAAATTGTTAAAATAATAAGAGTTAGTTTTTTTTTTTTTATCATGATTCTACCTTGCATAATACTATTTTTGCAGGTCAACAAAGACTGCAGAGAGTTTACCACCTCGTCGCAGCCGTCAGCCTTTAAGTCCAATACCACGATCGGTTCAGCCGATGACGCCGCGTAGCTGTAATCAAGACAATCATTTTAAAGGGCTGGAAGTCAGGGGCTTGCAAATAATAGCCCAACAAAAAAATTGGCATCCAAGAAAAAATTCTAAATCCAACGATTTGGATACAAAGGTGTATGTGCCTGAGCAACAAATACAAAACTAATGTTTTCAAGCGCTTGGGTACAGCATTGAAATCTTATCATAAAATTTTGTATTTTTTTTGTATATTGTTCGATAATCTTTTCCATCACCCATGCGTGAGCGAAATTTCGTGCGTGAGATTCGGGGTTACAAAAGACAGCCTTACTTATATGGTCGCGTGATTGGAATATATATTTTTCATATTCGCAGCATTCATTAAATCTACATTTTGCGCCAGCTTGAATTTTCACTCATTTGTCTTCTTTTCTAGAAATGCAAGAAAGGCAAATAAAAAGAGTGAGAAATCGTAATATGGCATGTAACAAAAAGTATTCGCTTGAGAAAAAAGGGGTATGCATAATGAATGAGCTCCACGCGCACGAAAACTTTTCTCGTATCAAATTAAGTACAAGAGTCTAAATCTACGTCAGCGGGCTAGTACCCCGTTTTATTTACAGCTCGTATATGTGTATATATGTATTTGGGTGTAAAATCTAGCGAAGCGATCGACAACACGCAAACTCGTGAAATTGCATGTTGGTAATCTTGCCAAAGTGTCTATGTACGTATTTTAGCAAAAGATTTATTTTACTTGGTGTCAACTTGTAAATTTCATATTTAAGTGTTTATATGTGTGTGTGTGCATATACGTCCGGAAATTTTTCAAATATACAAACATACTTTTATGAAATTCCCGCGTGAAATAGTTATGAGGTATGTCCATGTATAAAAAGAAAGTGAACGCAGGTTGTGCAAAAAACTGATAAAGTAACTTGTATATTTTTGTAGCGCTCGTTAAACAACAGAATGTAAGTATGAAACGTTTTTGAAAGAAAAAAAATTTTTTATATTCTCTAGTTATTGCTTAGCGGAAAAATTTGGTCCGTAAATTGTANAGACATTAAAAACTGTTATTATTTTTTTGTATCTCCTACTAATTTTTAAAAATAATTATTACCAACTTATCAAACAAAATTATTTCCGCTTTTGAAGGAAAGAAAGTAAGTACGGCATCCCCTCTCGGGTGTGAGTTGCCACCTGAGTCCAAGGCGAAGGTGGTAAACACCTGGGAGATGATGCCATACTTTTTTCTTAAGGCCCGTATTAAGGTTTTTTCTCCAACTTTGCCGAAAATACAACGTTTTCTGTGATTTTAGAGAGAAAAATGCAACATAACCTCTCAGGTAAAAATCTCATTTACTGCATATTAGAAAAAGTACATTGGCAGAAATTAGGAAAAGTATTGTTATACTTTTTCTAATAGCAGTTTATGCGATTTTTTACCTGCAAAAAATTTTGCACTTTGCATCCTGAAAACAGAGAACAAAGACGTTTTCGGTGGAGGTGTGAGAAAATTAGTATATTACGCACCTAGTGAGCCAGGTCTTAGATTTTACGTGAATAAACGTGGTTGACATGAAATCTAATGCCTTTCTTAACCTCCGAACGTGGTGCGTATACTATTTTTCACTAAGTCTGCGTCGGGAGAAAGAATTTTTGTTTCGCGAAGTGGAACGAAAGTTTTTTTTTTTTTCAGCGCAATATGGTGAAAAATATACTTTTTTCTCATACCTCCGCCAGAAATTTGTATTTTCTGTGCCTGTACCACGTAACCTAACAATTTTAAACGATTTTAAAGTTTAATAAAACACGAACCTTCAAGCATGCGTATGGAAAAAATTGGCACCTTAGCCATAAAGTAAACTATTACCACCTGTGTGTCTTTGTCAATTAGCCACACAAGCAATCAACTCATTTGCTTTCTGGCCTGGACACGTAATATACTATTAGTAAAGTAAAGCTCGTCGAAGAATAGGAGATCGTATGGATATAAAGCACGAGAAAAAAATTAAATATTACCAATCGGTATTATTACTAGATGCACAATACATAATATTTACGAGTGCTGCGATGGCTTATTGGTTAGCCTACGAGTCTCCTAGCCAGAGACATTCGAGGGGTCATGGGTTCGAATCCTGTCGAAAGTTTTCAAGACATTTTTCTCGGGCTTTTTCGATGGGGTGAGCACCCAGGATGCCGAAACACCACTTATCCAATTTTTAAAACAAATATTCGATTTTTTTGGTGTTGTCTGGACCTCCAGGGGCTTCCTTTTCTACGGAATGCCAACACCTGGCCAGCTTATCAGGTAAAGTCACTGACGGTTTTAAAAAGGTCGCACAGCGAATTTAGATGGTTGATTGGAAAATATCTTTCCAATAAACTCGACAATAGCTGAAGTATGCTTGAGACTGTACATTGCTGTGCCCTGTACATATAGTACCCAGTAGGATAGATGACCGAGTCGTCTGAGGGGAACTTTGCAAGGGGCCCGCACGAAAGATTCGCATACTTGGGGAAATAGGATGGTAATTACGGAAAAATAACAAGGAAGGTAGAGATTAGGGACATATATAGGATATGTAAAAACCCTGCGATGGGTGTACGTTGAGATATTAATACAATACCATACAAGATACTTACGAAAATGCTTACACTCAAGTTTAAAAAAAAAATGGCTTACAGAGTCACAGAAAAATTGAAAGGAAACCAAAAGAGATTTCGACAAAAAAAAGTACTAGAGATTATAATCACACTATGTAACAAATAACTGACAAGTAAAAATATAAAAGAAGTAAAGCACCTGTATACTTACTGCTTGGATTTTAAAACAGTATTTAACAGGCTGATAAACAAAATTTTGGTAAAAAAATTATGGTATGAACATAGAAAAACGGTTTTTAAAACAGTAGAAGAACTGTACAAAAGTATTGAAAATAAAGTTTTAATGAAAAAGCAATCAAAGAAAGACTTAATTATGCAACAATTCCGTTGTTCGACTATTGTTTCTTTTTTTTAGTGTATGTACTAGGCGTAAAAATCAAATAGTTTGACTGATTTCATTAAAAAAAAAAAAAATATAAGCCTCACATGCCTTGTATTATTTATAATAAACCTGGCTCAATGACTAAACAAATAAACCTTCTCGAAAAAATATGTCTTGAAAAAGCTACAAAATAATAATTAGTTAATGTTAGTTCTATATGGCTTACCTCTTGTGTTTTTTAGCGCTTAAAAATCTCTTATAGATTTTTTTCATGCACCTGATGGCAAGTGTATACCAAATTTACACGTCATGGTAATGAGTTTCCTTATTTTACTTAATGTGCTAGTTACCAAAATGTGCATTATCCCTTTCCTAGTATACGTATAATGTCTTTATTTAACCCGAAATACTCTATTTAGTCGAAATCAACGTATACAATATATTAAACATCAAAGTTTGCTGTAAGCATTCACTTTGATTAGAAAAATGTAAAAAACCCAAAAATGATGTCACTGAAGAACATGAATAACGAAAAATCTGTTTTTCATATTGATTGCAGCCTGACTAAAAGGCGCCTGGGCAAAGAACCTCGGTCCGGGCGCGCGACAGTCCTGCAGCAGCAACGCGTCGAAAGCGGCGATGCGACGAGCAGTGGCATCAACGGCAAATCGCGACCTCCGAGCAGCTGGAGCCGTCAATTGGCGGAGGAACAGACTCTGCACTCGTGGTCGGAGGACGTCGAGGATGAGGCGTCGCGGCGAGTCCTCGATTACTGGCGCGTCATCGAGCGCACGCTCTATGACGAGAAGGAGCCGCTACCGCAGGGCTCGCTCTTCGATGAGTGCGTGCAGTGGCGCAATCAGCTGGCACACCTGAGAATCGTGGGTCGAAGCGCAGCGGAGCTTGAGAACGGGACGAGCGCGGTGGTTGGCGGCCGGGCACAGAGGGAAAAAAGTGCTCCGAAAGACAACTATGGGCTGGACAAACTGACGGGCCTTGATCGCGATTTTTTTGCCAGGGTGAGTATCTAGAAATTATGTGCCTTAGACGATGTAGTTGTTGCTTCTTATTGGCGAGTGGTAGGTTTATTTAAAGATTATTTACGTTATACCAGCACTTAATTGTAACTCATGTAGCATAATATATATATATATATATTGCGAAATAAGTTCATGAAGCAGCTAGGAGATTTTTACACGAGTAGATAGCGAACGTTGTCGCCCAAGCGTACACCGTTCGAAATGCTAAAATGACTTCATTTTTACCAAACATTATTTTGATTGTTTATTTCTTGAATAAACTACTCAAGTTAACAAAGATATATGAGAAAAATCAATACAAATTTGTACTTCCAAAAAAAAAATTTAATTTTTTTTTTTTATAGTTCACCTTTATTTAATGTTAGGTGATGTACTATTAACACCAATTTTCATAGTAATGTTTTTTTGGAACTTGAATAAATTGGAAGTTATTTGCATATTTTTCGTTTAAAAATTATGGTAATTGGCGTGACTTTTTTAATAATTGAGTCTTGTTTAATTACCAAGACAGATTTCTTACAAAACAAACATTTGATGTTGTAAAGCATTCAGGTGGCTTGGGCGGTTAGTTTCGTACCTAGGGCAGGATACCATAAGGGCCTTGAAAAATCAACGCTTTTCGACCGTAAATTTTTCAATAAATATAGTTATTTCGATAAAACCAAAGTACAAGATCAAAAAATTGCCAGAAAAGTACCGTGAAATTATAATTTTGAAAATTGGGCTTCGGCTCGGGCCGCAAACCTCTCGGTTCGCAAACAGAGACTTTTCAAACTCGTTGGAAAACTACCATTTTTTTTTTTGACGCATAAATGCAAATTTGAATTGGATTCTCTAATATATATTTATATCTGCATTTACAAAGGTGTTTATTTTTTTTAAATAAAGGTAAATACTTTTAGACCCTTTATTTTTTAGATATCTGTTTTTGTGCAAGTGTCGGAACAATGTATAGTTGCGTCAATAGTAATGGTCAGGCCTATTTCGAGGTAACAATAAATATTATTTTAATTGGGGAATCAGCTTATTTTATAATTTTATTTTATCATGCAAAAAAATACGAAACATTTTTTTCCACAAACAGAAAAGTTTTATTTTGTAAAATTTCTGATTAAGTTCATTTGGATATTTTTCGTGGCGGGCTTGTTGGGTCTCCTATAATCTTTATTTTGAAACGGAGATCGTATGGATATAAAGCA